ATTTTCGCGTCATTAACGATCACGGGAGAACGTTAATAACGTTTTCGCGTTATTGGCGATCACGGGAGAACCTTAATAACGTTTTCGCGTTATTAGTGATCACGGGAGAACGTTAATAACGTTTTCGCGTTATTAGCGATCACGGGAGAACGTTAATAACGTTTTCGCCTAATTAGCGAACACGGGAGATCCTTAATAACGTTTCCGCGTTATTAGCGATCACGGGAGAACCTTAATAACGTTTTCGCGTTATTAGTGATCACGGGAGAACGTTAATAACGTTTTCGCGTTATTAGCGATCACGGGAGAACGTTAATAACGTTTTCGCCTAATTAGCGAACACGGGAGATCCTTAATAACGTTTTCGCGGTATTAGCCATAGCGGGAGATCCTTAATAACGTTATCGCGTTATTAGCGATCACGGGATAACGTTAATAACGTTTTCGCGTTATTGGCGATCACGGGAGAACTTTAATAACGTGATCGTTAGTGATGCGAAAACGTTATTAAAGTTCTTCCGTGATAGCTAATAAGGACGAATCGTTATTATCGTTCTCCCGTGATCGCTAATATGCGGAAACGTTATTAACGTTCTCCCGTTATCGCTTATAACGCGAAAACGTTATTAAGGTTCTCCCGTGAACGCTAATAACGCGGAAACGATATTAAGGTTCTCCCGTGATTGCTAATAACGCGAAAACGTTATTCAGGTTAACCCGTGATCGCTAATAACGCGAAAACGTTATTAACGTCCTCCCGTGATCGCTAATAACGTGAAAACATTATTAAAGTTCTTCCGTGATCGGTAATAAAGCGGAAACATTATTAACGTTCTCCCTTGATCGCTCATAAGGCGAAAACGTTATTAAGGTTCTCCCGTGATTGCTAATAACTCGAAAACGTTATTAACTTTCTCCCGAGATCGCTATTAAGGCGAAAACGTTATTAAGGTTCTCCAGTGATCACTAACAACGCGAAAACGTTATTAAGGTTCTCCCGTGATCGCTAGGAACGCGAAAACGTTATTAAGGTTCTCCCGTGATCGCTAATGACGCGAAAACTTTATTAACGTTCCCCCGTGATCGCTAATAACGCGAAAACGTTATTATCGTTCTCCCATGATCGCTAATAAGGCGAAAACGTTATTAACGTTCTCCCGTGATCGCTAATAACGCGAAAACTTTACTATGTTTCTCCCGTGATCGTTAGTGATGCGAAAACGTTATTAAGGTTCTCCCGTGATCGCTAATAGCGCGAAAACTTTATTGACGTTCCTCCGTGATCGCTAATAATGCGAAAACGTTATTCAGGATAACCCGTGATCACTAATAACGTGAAAACGTTATTAAGGTTCTCCCGTAATCGCTTATAACGCGGAAACGTTTTTATGGTTCTCCCGTGATCGCCAATAACGCGAAAACGTTATTAACGTTTTTCCGTGATCGCTAATAACACGAAAACGTTATTAACGTTCTACCGTGATCGCTAATAAAGCGAAAACGTTATTAACGTTCTCCCGTGATCGCTAATAACGCGAAAACGTTATTAAGGTCCTGCCGTGAACGCTAATAACGCGAAAACGATATTAAGGTTCTCCCGTTATCCCTAATAACGCGAAAACGTTATTAAGGTTCTCCCGTGATCGCTAATAACGCGAAAACGTTATTAACGTTTTCCCGTGATCGCTAATAACACGAAAACGTTATTAACGTTCTACCGTGGTCGCTAATAAAGCGAAAACGTTATTAACGTTCTCCCGTGTTCGCTAATAACACGAAAACGTTATTAACGTTCTACCGTGATCGCTAATAAAGCGAAAACGTTATTATCGTTCTCCCGTGATCGCTAATAAGGCGAAAACGTTATTAACGTTCTCCCGTGATCGCTAATAACGCGAAAACTTTACTATGTTTCTCCCGTGATCGTTAGTGATGCGAAAACGTTATTAAGGTTCTTCCGTGATCGCCAATAAAGCGAAAACGTTATTAAGGTTCTCCCGTGATCGCTAATAGCGCGAAAACTTTATTGACGTTCCCCCGTGATCGCTAATAACGCGAAAACGTTATTCAGGTTAACCCGTGATCGCTAATAACGTGAAAACGTTATTAAGGTTCTCCCGTAATCGCTTATAACGCGGAAACGTTTTTATGGTTCTCCCGTGATCGCCAATAACGCGAAAACGTTATTAAGGTTCTCCCGTGATCGCTAATAGCGCGGAAACTTTATTGACGTTCCCCCGTGATCGCTAATAACGCGAAAACGTTATTCAGGTTAACCCGTGATCGCTAATAACGTGAAAACGTTATTAAGGTTCTCCCGTAATCGCTTATAACGCGGAAACGTTTTTATGGTTCTCCCGTGATCGCCAATAACGCGAAAACGTTATTAACGTTTTCCCGTGATCGCTAATAACACGAAAACGTTATTAACGTTCTACCGTGATCGCTAATAAAGCGAAAACGTTATTAACGTTCTCCCGTGATCGCTAATAACCCGAAAACGTTATTAACGTTCTCCCATGATCGCTAATAACGCGAAAACGTTATGAAGGTCCTGCCGTGAACGCTAATAACGCGAAAACGATATTAAGGTTCTCCCGTGATCGAAAATAACGCGAAAACGTTATTAACGTTCTACCGTGATCGCTAATAACGCGAAAACGTTATTAAAGTTCTCCCGTGATCGCCAATAACGCGAAAACGTTATTAACGTTCTCCCGTGATCGTTAATGATGCGAAAACGTTATTAACGTTCTCCCGTGATCGCTAATAACGCGAAAACGTTATTAACGTCCTCCCGTGATCGTTAATAACGCGAAATCGTTATTAAGGTTCTCCCGTGATCGCTAGTAACGCGAAAACGTTATTAGGGTTCTCCCGTGATCGATAGTAACGCGAAAACGTTATTAAGGTTATCCCGTGATCGCTAATAACGCGAAAACGTCATTAAAGTTCTCCCGTGATCGCTAATAACGCGAAAACGTTATTAAGATTCTCCCGTGATCGCTAATAACGCGAAAACGTTATTAAGGTTCTCCCGTGATCGCTAATAACGCGAAAACGTTATTAAGGTTCTCCCGTGATCGCTAATAACGCGAAAACGTTATTAAGGTTCTCCCGTGATCTCTAGTAACGCGAAAACGTTATTAAGGTTCTCCCGTGATCGCTAATAACGCGAAAACGTTATTAAAGTTCTCCTGTGATCGCTAATAACGCGAAAACGTTATTAGGTTCACCCGTGATCGCTAATAACGCGAAAACGTTATTTAGGTTCTCCCGTGATCGCTAATAAAGCGAAAACGTTATTAAGGTTCTCCCGTGATCGCTAATAACGCGAAAAGGTTATTTAGGTTATGCCGTGATCGCTAATAAAGCGAAAACGTTATTAAGGTTCTCCCGTGATCGCTAATTAGGCGAAAACGTTATTATCGTTCTCCCGTGATCGCTAATAAGGCGAAAACGTTATTAACGTTCTTCCGTGATAGCTAATAAGGCGGAAACGTTATTATCGTTTTCCCGTGATCGCTAATAAGGCGGAAACGTTATTAACGTTCTCTTATGATCGCTAATAACGCGAAAACGTTATTAAAATTCTCCCGTGACCCGTAATAAGGCGAAAACCTTATTAAGGTTCTCCCGAGACCCGTAATAAGGCGAAAACCTTATTAAGGTTCTCCCGAGACCCGTAATAAGGCGAAAACCTTATTAAGGTTCTCCCGAGTCCCGTAATAAGGCGAAAACCTTATTAAGGTTCTCCCGAGACCCGTAATAAGGCGAAAACCTTATTAAGGTTCTCCCGAGACCCGTAATAAGGCGAAAACCTTATTAAGGTTCTCCCGAGACCCGTAATAAGGCGAAAACCTTATTAAGGTTCTCCCGAGACCCGTAATAAGGCGAAAACCTTATTAAGGTTCTCCCGAGACCCGTAATAAGGCGAAAACCCTATTAAGGTTTTCCCGAGACCCGTAATGAGGCGAAAACCTTATTAAGGTTCTCCCGATACCCGTAATAAGGCGAAAACCTTATTAAGGTTCTGCCGAGATCCGTAATAAGGCGAAAACCTTATTAAGGTTCTCCCGAGACCCGTAATAAGGCGACAACTTTATTAAGGTTCTCCCGAGACTCGTAATAAGTCGAAAACCTTATTAAGGGTCTCGGGAGATCCTTAATTATGTTTTCGTCTTATTACGGGTCTCGGGAGAACTTTAATAAGGTTTTCGCCTTATTAAGATTCTCCCGAGACCCTTAATAAGGTATTCGCCTTATTAAGGTTTTACCACGTCAACAGGGCTTTATTAATAATGAAAAGTAACAAATAAGACAAAATCTAATTGTTTCATCATGTCAACTGATTCTTATTAATGAAAAATAGAAAATAAAACCAAATTTATATGTTTCATTATAGCCACAGATTTTTATTAATGAAAAATGAGAAATAAAACAAAACTTGCACGTTTTATCTTGTCCACATGCCTTTATTAATGAGAAATGAAGAATCAGATAAATCCTAGATGTTTTATTATATTCACTGCCCTTTTATAATGAAAAATAAGGAATAAAATAAAACAAATTTGTTAATGAAATAAAATACGATCTAAGTAATTTATTTTGTCCACAGGTTTTTAATTGTTATTGAAATAAAATAAAACCTAGATATTTTATTATCTTTTCCTCTTTAATATAATAAATAATAAGAATTCAGATAAAACTTAGATTAATTCTTGGATCTACAGACCTTTTATAATGAAAAGTAAAAAAATCAAACAAAATATTGATGTTTTGTTATGTCCACTGACTTTTTGTATTAAAATATAAAAAATTAGATTAAACCTAGGTGTTTTATTATGTTCACAGGCCTTTTATAATGAAAAATATTAAATCAGGTTTAATTCATCTTTCCATTTTTTTTTTAAACTTTTGATTCGTTATGCCCACTAACCATAATACAAACAGTCTCACACACATGATGCGGAGTGTCAGAGATTATGCGCGATTTAACTCGAAAGATCTCCGTTATGTCGGAATCCACGGATCCCAAGGATGGGCATGGCGCTCCCCTCCTTTAAGATCCTTCTCTTTCACTTGGCCGTCACGATTTTTTGTCGCTCTAGTAGCTACAGGCAGCAAGCAGTTAGTGTACGTTCGGCTACGTTATCACAGTTCAATATAATCTCGCTTACATATTTCATCTGTAATAATTTTCTCTTTGATGTAAGAGATAAAATAAGGAACAAATACATGATAACTTATTCGTGAAAGATTTACCTCCTTGTATATTCCCGCAGTTTAAGTAATTACGAAAACAAAACTGCCAATCTGGATGATTTGATTCGGTTCAATAATAATAATGAATGTGTAGTGATCTATATGTGTATATGTGTTTTTATGTGCGTTTTATGTGTGTTATTAAAATATGTCTATGCGAATGGTAATACTGATTAATTGACTAACAACAGTGGATCAATTGGTAACCGTAAAGAATTCACTTCTGCCACTGCAAGGTGTTATAATGTTGTAAGTTAAATATTTGTCTGAACACTACAGTATTTGAATACAGTATTCGAATATCTTAATATATTAAAAAATTAATTTGCTTAAATAGAAAATTCTTATATGGAAACGATGAGCAAAAGAAATAATGATTCATATTAATTTATCAATACACGTTTGACATATAATAAAACAATATATTAATGATTAAAAGAGTCAATCTCGCGCACATATGTATATTCTTTTTACTTTGATTTTTATATAATTTTTTTTTCAAAATACGTGATCAAAATATGTTGTAAAATTTCTTTAAAAAATTAAAAAGATTAGGAGACAATTAATCTAGCAATGAATAAAAATATTAATAAATAGTATGTAATAGTTTCTTTCCACATATGTGTGTGTGTATTATAATATATATGTACACACACACACACACAATTTTCTATTATTGGTATCAAAATTTTCGTTTAGTTTAAAAATGCAAATAAATGTATAAATATTACGTGATTATTATCTTTAATTTTTAGTCGTTTGCGAGCAATTGCTAACTTTTCCTCAACACAAAATAACTTTCTTTGCATAACATGCACTATGTTTGAAATGCACATATATAGTCGACGCAAAACTTCATTCTGCCGTAGCTTTAAATCAGTCCGTAACATTTCAGTTCCAGTATATCTATTCCTTTATTCGTGAAATCTGAAAAAATGTAAGAAAATTGCAATAAGATTATATCTTTTATTTATATTCTTAAACCTGTTATCTGATAACTAAAAGAAAGTCTTTATAAGTTCATTGTATAAAGTAAAAATTAGAAATGATTTATTGCTACTGATATGTATCTTACATATTCTTAAATTGTTAGAATTGTTAGAAATATGTTAAATATTATTTAACAATTACTGCTCTTGAAAAAAAATGAACTTTGAAAATTTATAAATAACCAAACTCCATTCTGTTAACTACATGATTTTTAATTTTAATGACATTTAATCTGAATTGCAATTATATCAGGATCAAAGATTTACAAACTTACAAAAAAGTATTGAACGTAAAAGTTCTTATTGAGAAAGCAAAGAATCTAAAACTTATATCTGTGAATACTCAATAATTCTCAGACACCCTGTATGTACGTAGAACGTACCGAAACACCGTTACATCTGTTTTAACATTAAGAAAAGATGTGAGAGAAGAATTTCTTCATGTAACATATCACATATTAAGTCTAAAAATAATGTATGAATTGTATATTTCAACATTTCATATATATACATAATCAAATATAATTTTATATATGTATTACTATACAATGTTGATTTCTTTTAATTACTCAAAATTGATTTATTTAGCAATTTACTTACTAACTATAATAAGTATGTATATTTTTCCAATAATTATATATGTGTACATATATAATTATTATATTTATTATAGTAATGATAAAATTATTATAGTAATGATAAAATAATATGTTTAATACAATAATTGAAAACATAGTATATATAAAAATTGATAAAAAATTGAGTATTTCTCCTGCTATATCTCATTCCTATCAGAGCTGATATATTTATAAATTTATATATGTATAAAATATTAGCTCTTTTTCTTTAGCTTTTTCATCTGCTATTGAATTTCTTCCTCTAATGTTTGAATTTTAAACACAGACTTTACATATCTTTTTTAATAATCTTATGTACGTTAAATTGCTTCATGATTTTCTGTACATTTGTGTTTCTGTACATGTGTTTCATTTTTTGTAATTTTTTTCCAATATGATAATAATCTCAGTATTTAAAATATTTTTTAATACATATTATTATGATTGAATACAATAACACTTTTTCTATCCTATATGTAATTTCACTTTGACCAATATTAATTATTTTTTCATCTGTTTCAGTTATTACACAATCTTTTTCCTTTTCTTTTCTTTCGTATTGACTACATATATTTTCAATTCTATTCTCTTTAACTCTTCTCTTCGCGTTTGAAATCCTTAATTTATCCTAAATTAATCATAAATTTTATTTTATTTCTTGATTAAATTATCATCATCCAACTTTATTTCTAAATCCAAATCATTATCCAACTTTATTTCTTCCTTAATATTGATAATTTTTATTCTTCCTCAATATTGATAATTTTTATTTTAGGTTTTCATTCGCGCGGTGATTCAATAACTGAAATTCTCATTTAATTTGGCTTGTATATATATATATATATATATATATATATATATATATATAGCTTTAATTTTTGCATTTTTTTTCCTTCTCCCGGTTTCACAACTATTTCCTTTCTTAGCTTCGTTATTCCTATAACTATGTTCTTAATATCTATCTTCTCTTTTAATAAAATCTTTTGCAGCTTTTTTCTTGTTGCAACTTAAATTTAATAATTATAATATTTTCTTTTTTCTCTTCTTTGCTTATTTCATTATAGCTTTCCTACGCTCTTCCTGATGGAACATAAGCTCTTTATATTATTCTTTCCAAATCTTCTCAAATCTTTTCTTGTTTAATATTTTTCAATTTTTCTCAAATTACTTTCTTAAATACAAGATCGTCTTTGATTTCTCTTTACATAATCTCGTCTTTTATTTCTTTCACTGTATTTCTACGTTAATCTATTTTTATATCAATAATGTAATCTATTGATGGCTATTGTTCCATTTCCATTATTTGTGGTATCGTAATCGATCCTCTAAATTCTATTGATTCTCGCTTAACTTCCCAAACAGCACAAAGAAAAGATGATAAAAAAAATATCTTTTTTAAGTTGTTTTTTTGAAAAATTGAAAAGATGTTTAAAAATATATATGTATATATTTTATACAACAGAGTTTTCATTTGACCGCTAAGACAACTTAAGAAAGACATGTTTTCGTCATCTTTTTATGAATGTTTATTTTTTTATTTTTTTTTTACAAAGCGAAAAGATGACTAAAAGATGTCTTTTTGATTAAACAAAAATTTCGTTTGCTTACCGTTGTGCGATGCGATGTGCGTTATCTTGTATTTCAATTTTAATCATGAAAACTATATAAAACCTGCAAAGCGCGACTAATAAAATTGTAATTATTTCTATTAATTTAATTTCTGAAATAATCTCTATATACAAAGGTTTCAAATATTAAAACTGTTTGGAAAGTCGGATAAATAAAAGTCCGATTTTCACTTATTCGGATAGAAATCTGAATATGTGAAAGTACAATCTATTAATAATATGTAATACTATTTGTAATACTCAATTTTATTATATTTATATAACATTGATATATAACAACATTTATTGGATCTAATCCTACATATATATAATTAGAACGATTAAAAAATCTTAAATTAATTATCTTTTAATCGTCAGGTTAGGATAAGATATGTCTTTTAGTCGATCATACGCCGTCTATTAGTTATATTTTCGTCGATTATACTCTCATTAAAGGACATCTTTAAAGAAAATATCATCTTTTATTTTAGTTAGTCATTTTTTAAACTTGATCTAGATCTGTTGTTTCTTATCTACGTTGATTCCTTCTTTATTATTTTTTATTATAAATTTCTCAAATGCACCATAATACGATATCAATTTATAATTTCAATCATAAACTTTATACTTGCTTACACATTCTGGAAGATATAAAGCTTAACATATCTTACAGAGAAAAAGAGAAAAAAATGTCAATAAATTAGATTTATTTTTTTTTTAATCCAATTGCACTTTTTTTATTTCTAGTTCATATTTGTTAACGATTTTCCTATTGTGGAATAATCTTTCGTTGAATCAAGCACAATGGAAACCCTGCATTGAGTTGAAACAGGACCTTGTGGTGCCTTGCAAGTGTGCCATATCTATTGATTATCCATCATTAATTGAAATGGATTGCGATCGAGTAATTTTTACGCGTGATACCATAAACATTTTACATAATCAGCCGATCGTATCGATCAGCCAAAGGAACTGTGGCTACCAGAGTTTACCGGAAGATTTAATTAATTCCGGTTTAAATCTCAGGAAACTTGATCTGTCGAACAATCTAATATATCGGCTAATGGATCATGTTCTGCACTTACAAAATGAACTACATGAGCTTCAACTCGCCAATAATCTATTGGGTGACAGTTTAAACCCAATTTTTTCCAGCAACGAATTTCATGACATGAAAAAACTCAAAATACTCGATCTCAGTAGAAATGGTCTCAGAAATATTGAGGAAGGAATTTTAAAAGGATGCACTAATTTAGAGGAACTATATCTTGATGGTAACAATTTAACTGCGGTACCTACTGTATCCTTGAAAGGCCCACGTGCAATTAAAGTGTTATCCTTGGCCCAAAATAATATCGGTATGGTTACAATATGATTTATAAATGTAATTAATTTATTAAAATAATTATATATATATATATATATATATATATATATTATATATATATATAATATATATATATATATTATATATATATATATATATATATATTATATATATACATATATTACTATATATACATATATTATGTATTATTATATATTATATATATATATATATATATGTGTATAAAATATATTAAAATATTTTTTATTAAAGTTATTCTTAATTTATAGTTCTTTTTTATATATTAATTCTGTGCGTGAACATATGTGCGTATATCTTTATTTTTCATATTTTTATATTTTTTAAATGGCAATATTTTTAAGAAATAGTTTTAGAATTATATTTATATAATTAATAAATTATATATCTATATAATTTATATTTTAAATATTAAACACTTTATAATTAAATATATTTTTAACATAATTAACTTATTAATCTTTTAATACACATTTTATCTTAAGTTTAATTTAATGATACTTATTTAATGCAAGAATTTTCATGTCTAACACGTTTTACGTATCTCTATTTCGAGTACATTATACCATTGACACATTTGTATTGTTTTATTTTATATCTCGTATTATACTCGTATATCATATCTACGCAATATTTATTAGCTGAGTAATATCTACATATTTACAATAAAAATGCATGTTTATTAGCATTAAATAGATATTATTTATACTTATAAATTTTTCAGAATAAAAACAAAATAGATATGCAAATAGATATAAAAGACTACACCTTTTATTGCCACTTAGATATGTTGTAAAAAAGATTGTTCTGAATAATTTCCCGCAAAAAAAAATAAGTAAAAAATAGCATTTGTTTAGAAGATATAAATTATATAAACTTTGACTGTAAAATTTACATACGCTATAAATAATGTGTTAATTTTTGTGACTGAAAAAGTGTTTGTTTATTATTTTCATGCGTGGGTAGGAAGAGACTTCGAATCTCTTTCCACATCCCAACCTCGAAAAACTAATCTAACTTTTTTCCAAAAAGTGAAGCAATATTAAGATATATAATTCTTAAGTGCCAAAAAATTAGATTGGATTATTACAAATTAGATTGGGTTAGATTAGAATTTTTTGTCTCTATTCCGCCCACGCACCACAATAAAAAATATTTTTTTAGAAATATTAGTTTATCGAATTAAAAAGAAATGAGGAAATTTCATTTCACACCGTGGACATTTAATGTGAATAACTTTTCAATCAACAAGAAAATTTACTAACTTATTCCTCAACAAGATTTAAAATAAAAATAAAAAATGTTAATACTGATTGTATTTATAAACAGCAATAAGCTAAGTAATTGTCATATACAATACCAATAAAATATGAAACAATATATATAATATAATACAACTGTTTTATGCATAATTACCGTATATATAATACAATATATAATACTATAAATGTGAAACATGTTTTATTTATTAGTCGAAGTAGCTGAAAAAATACATGCAGAATGATATTTTTATATCATAAAAACAAGCAATTTCACACATGACTTGCACATTATATAAAAGCTGCATTTTTACAATCGCACAGTTTTTAGTCGCACAGTCTTTGTTCTTTAATCTTTGTTCTTTCTGTCCTCCCTTTTTACTTGCTTCAATAGTATAACACAGGAAATGTTTGACAAATACTATTAAGAGGAAACATGTTATGTTATTTTAAACTGCTCTACAAAACATGTTTCACATTTATTTGTATTTTGGCAATCACCTGTCCGCAGTTATTGCTGTTTTTTAAACACAATCAGCATATACATTTATTTATTTTTATCGTACAGTTATTCGACAAACAGATTTTATTATAGACAAAAGCAAAATAAGAAAATATATTTTTGTAATGTACATATATAATAAATTAATAAATTAATAATCCCAAAATAATAATCCACGTAATATACATTTACTTTGTGTAAATATTTACAGTCTAATATAAAAAAATGAATTTTGAAAAATTATTTATAGTAATAGAAAAAAATCATTTATTCAAATTAAGAAATAAGTAAAACAGGTTGTTGACAAAATATTTATGACGCGGAGCGCTATAAAAGATGACAAATAAATTGTTACAATATAAATAAACTCCATAAATATATGCAATGTTTTTAATATCAACTTATTTAAAGTATTAAAATTATAGAATTTCAATTTATTACATCTCATCAATGCCATTCTTTATTTATTTCTTGCGAATGACTCAAAACAATTTCTTCTACAACATATACAAATGTCCATAAAATCAATGAATTTTATAATAATTATATATTTTTCAGAACTTTTATGCACAAACATTGAGTTAATTCTTCTGATTGTTATCCTATTTTTACAGGTTTTCTTCCACGAGATTCTTTCATAACTTTAAGCGAATCATTATTGCGATTGGATCTTAGCTACAATGAATTATCTTACATGGAAGACAATGCTCTTTTCAATCTTCAACATTTATTGTTTCTAAACATCTCCTATAATTCTCTTAGTCGCTTCAACAGCGATGTTTTCAAAAGTAAGTTTTGCATATAATAGTCATATTTCTATCAGTTAAAAGATTTGATATGGACAAATGATTTGCAATAAGTTTTTCCAACATCTCAAATGTAGAATTCCAACTCGTCTTAATACTCCAAATTAATTTTATGGCTTTATGTTTGTTTGTGGTTTGAAAATAGGACATTTCCGCCATTCAAATATAGCTATCAGAAGACAATGCTTCGATTGTAAACCTCTGATAGCTATATTTGAATGGCGAAAATATCTTATTTTTCCAGCTTTGAGCGCGCGCGTAACGTACGTACCTGAATAAATATATATGTGTGAATATATCAAAAATAGATTATACGTATATGATCTAGAGGAATGTTTACTTTAAATTACACAATATAAATAATTTTCATTTCAACATATATGTATATGTATATATATATTTTTTTAAGAATATGTTCCTAATTAATACACCATTTGCATTTTATGGTGCTTTGTTTTGAGCTTGATTTCTGAGATATACAATTTTTAAATTTTATACTTATTTTAGTTATATCGTTTTTGTGTTTATATTTTTTTTATTTTACATTTGTGTTTTAAGTAAACGCGTAAGAGAGAAAGACTCCGCCTCTCTTCCTGTATCTCAAAAAACTAACCTAATCCATATTCGAAATGTTAACAGGTAATAATATTTATACAATATCCTAGGAATATTGTGTGCTTATAGGGTTCATATTATCGTTTGCAAACATAAAAACACATTTACATATTAACAGTACGAATTTTCTTCCACTCATAGAATTCTTATTATAATTCTGCATGTTTTGTTTTATTTCATACCTTGATAATGCAAATTTATTAACAAAGAACCCAGCGAAATTGCAAAACTGCAATAAAAAATACCATGATTATTTCAGATATATTCAATCTACTTCAGTTGGATCTCTCAGCTAATTTTTTCCAGGAGTTTCCCACCAACGCGCTAAGACATTTAACATATTTAAAATTCCTGAATATTTCCAATAATCTGATTACTGTAAGTATTTTCACAGATAATGCTCAATTATCATTAATGTGTAAATATATTTAGCTATTATCATTTTCCAATTTGCAAAAATTTTTTTTCGGTAAACAAGCATATTGTATTTATTTTATGACGTGACGATCTACAAACAATTATTCTTTTTACTTCTCATAGGAAATTGAACAAACACACTTATCACACTTGACTGAACTAGAAATATTGGACCTTAGCCGAAATAATATAGGCCAGCTCGGAATTAATACGTTTTCCAATCTTTCCGCCCTCACTACATTAGATCTAAGCCTTAATGCACTACGCACGGTACGTTTCTTCTATATGTAATAAAAATTTATCGGAGAACAAACTAAAAAATAATATACACATGTTACAATTTTATTTCTACTATATATTCTATTATATAATATGTTTATACATTTACTTCTCTTAATTTCATTTCACGTCAATCCGATCAAAAAAAGATTGTTGCTTTCTGTGCGTGCATGCGTGTGTATGCGTGCACGCGTGTTATGTATGGATAGCAACAATAGTAAATGTAATTATTGTATATATATATATATATATATATATATATATATATATATTATTATTAAATGTGTGTGTGTGTGTGTATATATATATATATATAATTTTTTTTTTTTTTTTTCTTCAATAAACACTTATATACCTACATACTTAAACTATTTGTATCTGATATTTGTTTATATTATTATATGTTTATATTTCGAATGTCTATATTATCAAATATATAGAATAATATAAAAATTTCAAATAGAGAGTTAAAGAATTTCAATCCATTATTGAAATTATAAAAATACAAAAAGTTATAATTTTTATGTATAGGGGGGAAAGGGCTTCTCTTCTTACACTTCCACCCAAAAAAATTCTAACTGAAACTTAATTTTAATGTAAAATCAGAAATAGGCTTGAATCAAGCTAAATTTTTTCAAGATGGGGATGCAGAAGGAAAAGCAGAACCTAACTCCTCTCCTGACTATGTATTTCATTTGCCACGTTTAAATAAATCTGCTAAGAGCTTTTTTTAAATGTATATGATGTCAGAAAATTACGTTTAATTTCGTAAACCTTTTTCGTTAAATATCTCCGTCCAAAAAACTATACAAGACTGCATGCCAAATAAAATTAAATGAATATTAATCAGCAATTTTTATCTATTATAATATTAATCAATTTTTTTCAATATATATATGAATGTCAAAGTTATCGGTGAGATGAGTTAATATAAATAATTACTTATTTATAATTACTTATTTTTTTTATAAGATTGTGTTTTTTTCGAAATATTTGTTGAAAAATAAAATATCTTGTATATATTAAACAAATTTATTTTTTAATATTATTTTGGAAAAGAGGAATATAAAATCTTAATATTACGTTAATATTACATTCGAGTAAAGCGTTGTTACACTTTATAATTGTTAAATATTGTAAAATTAAATTGTTAAAAATATAAATTTAAGAATACTTAATTTTTAATTTGAATAGAAAAATAGAGAGTATTGCAAATTTATAATCATTATTTATCGCATTTTTATGTATTATTTTTACTTATAGATCGAAGAATCATCTTTTGAGGGCTTGACAAAATTGAAATGGCTATCTTTAGAAGACAACAACATTTTACTAGTACCAGCTTCAGCACTCATGCGATTACCATCGTTGGCACACTTGAACCTGCAATTTAATCGCATTGCCGCACTTTCCATCGAATTAATTCATGCCACATCGACGAATCTTGTGACTCTGGGCTTGTCACACAATCTAATACGCGAGATACAACCCAAATTGTTCTATAACTTCGAACATCTTATCAATATCGAACTCTCCGACAATATGCTGTCAGCCGTTTCACAAAATGCATTCGCTGGTTTAGAAGATATCTTGTTGAATCTCGATATATCATATAATCGATTAACAACTATTACTGAATTGGCATTGAGAAATTTGCTCTCGCTGAATCTGGCAGGTAACCAATTAAAACGATTGACGCCTGAAACGTTCAAATACTTACATAAATTGAAGTATTTAAATCTTAGTAGCAATCCCTTATACGGCGGCTTCCCACCAATTTTTCCTTCATCCTTAATCAATCTCGACATATCGTATACAGAGCTTAAGATTCTGCCGGCCGTATTGCTGTTGAATCTGGAATCATTGGAGAAAGTCTTTCTTTCTGGCAATCAGCTACAAGAAATCAATGAAGGCACTTTCCAGCATCTCTATAATCTCACAACAATTGATCTTTCGTACAATGCCATCGAGCGCATAGACATTGGCGCCTTTATCAATCTCATTAATCTTTATTCATTAAATTTATGTGGTAATAAGCTCACGTTATTCATTGGTGAGCACTTCAACACCGGCACTGGCTTGGAAATTCTCGATTTATCAAATAATCGTATTAATCAACTCTCTCCGACAGCCTTCATGATCCATCCAAGGCTCACACGGCTTGATCTCTCAAACAATCAATTTGTCCAGTTTCCGAGTAACTTTATCAAGCCATTACAGTTTTTAAAATGGCTGAATTTATCTGGGAACATGTTGCGTCACGTAAACGAATTCGCTTTCTCACATATGGAAAGATTACGCGATCTGGATCTCTCCAATAACAGAATTGAATCGGTATGTAAAATATTGTGATAAATAATAGTAAGAAAGAGAGAAAGGAGGGAAAGAAGAAAAAAATAGAGTAGAAAATCTAAAGAAAAGAATATACAAAATAATAAAATAAAAATAGAATTTATTGATAAATAAAATAAAACTTACATTATTGAAAATAAAATTGTTACAGATAGATGAATTGGCCTTTCACAACTCTACGCAGCTTCAATTATTGGATTTATGTAACAATATTTTAGAAACGCTGAACGAGCGCTCTATGGAAGGTCTGTTTCGATTAGAATTTTTGAATTTATGTAATAATCGACTCACTTCGCTGCCGGAGACCATCTTCGAACCATTGAGGATTCACGACATTGAGAGGATTGATCTTTCTGGCAATCGTTTTAATGAGATACCAATCCGCGCTCTGCAACGACAATCGGCATCACTGTTCAATTTAAAAATAGCTCGCAACCGTATAGTAGAGATATTCACGCAAGTCATTATCAACAATGTGAAAGAACTTGATCTTTCTGAGAATCCATTGAGCGAAAACGCGATACATAGCATTCTAGGTGAGGCAAAGATTCTGCGATCATTGAATCTCGCCGATACAGGTATCAAAACTATTTCCAGGCTAGAGATGCCATTCCTGAAACATTTGAATCTCTCAGGCAACGCAATCATGGACATCAAACCGATCACTTTGGAGCGCATTACGATGCTAGAGAGCCTAGATTTGTCGAGAAATCATTTGACAGATTTCACAAATTTGACTAGTAGTTTTAAAACTTTAACCGTACTCCAGAATCTAGATATTTCTAATAATGAAATAATAAACATCAAGGAAAGTAGTTTTGATGGATTGGTCATGCTACGCTCCTTAAAAATGGCAAACTTAACGAATAGTACCAGAATTGAGAAAAACGCATTTAAATCGCTGAAGAAATTACGATTTTTATATGCTTACAATTATCCTAAGTTAGGTTACTTCGATGTACAAGGTATTTTGAAAGATATAACAAATCTAGAAACGTTGGACATCGAGATTAAAGACTCATCAATAGCCAATGAGCAGCTATCAATACACACTCATCCTCGTCTGCGAGAATTAACATTGCGAGGGGAAAAACTACGTAGTATTCTCACGAGCTCGCTAGCTGGTGTGCGAGGATCAAGATTGTTTCTAGGTTTAAAGAATACTTCTGTAAACTCTATACCGGCTGCTCTCTTCTTTCCGGTACCACGTTCTACTAAGATTGAATTAGACATTTCCGGCAGCAAGTTCACTAATTTATCAACTCAGTTATTAGCCGCTTTGGATGAACGCAGAGGTTCCGTAAGAATTAGCGGATTAAATAATAACCCGATCAATTGCAGTTGCGAGGCAAAATATCTATGGAGATGGCTTCAGTTATCAGGCAATAAAGCGCCTATTGTTATTTGTGTTAATCCTAAACATCTCGAGGGTGTAATGCTGAATGATCTTACAAAAGAGAATTACTTATGCAATCACACGATAACAAAATCGCAGGTGACGGAAACCACACTATTGATGAAATCAACAACGCACGAACCAGAAATCATTTGGACTATCGCACCAATGGTGCAAAATAATCGAAACAAACATATTGATTATACAAGTAAATTGTTATTTGTCAAGTTTAAATATCTCTAACTTTTTATCTGTCAATAAAAAATTTGGAACAATCAACGATTCTATTAGACTTGAAATACATTTTTTTTTATCTCAGGCAAAAAAAATTAAATTTTTAATAAAAATATATAAACTAAATTTTTAATTAATAATAAATAATTTAATTAATAAGTAATAAAAAATTACAACTTTATTTATTTTATTTACTTTATTAATTTTTGCTAAGAAATTTCTTTTAATACTAAATTGAAAATTTATATATTAAATTTAATATAATTTTTTTTACAAATTTTATATTATTAATAATATCATACTGATTGACAGATGCGTCCACGATGGGTAATATTTCAAGCACTGATGATACCCTCATTATCAGCATCATTGGCGGCATAGTGGCATTCATTGCGATCATTGTTATTGCAATTTGCATCTGCCGACTGCGATGGAACAATCAAATGCAAGAAACAAGAATGACAACGATAGGAGCATCAATCATTCCCGAGGAGTCAATGATCCCTGAGACATCAATTATACGACCGACAAATTCCTACTCAGGCAAGATTAATCATCATGATCTATACGTAGGCTCGTATAATAGCTCAACTTTAGATCGCGGCAGTAATGGTTCAGTGCTACTGACTACTCCTGTGCAGATGATGCCCTATACGCAATCGATGCACATGATGCATGCTATAAATCCGTCCTCGCCTTCACTATCTACGCAACAAATCTATGAATATTATGACAATCCACCACTTCCTATATATGTTACAGAGAGCAAGATAGACAAATAATTGATGTAGAGACATTGATTACAGAATATCATAAATATTTAAAAAAAACATAAAAAATAAAAAAAGATTTGTATATATGTGTGGTATATGTGGATCTCCTCTTTTCTCTCTCTCTCTGTTTATCTGCGCACGCGCGCTTATATGTGTGTGTGTGTGTACGCGCGTGCACGCGCGTGCGAAATTTGTACGAAACAATTCTTTATTTATAATAACATTAATGAGATAAAATACAGGCCAATTGAAACTAAAAATAATGTATAATTATAATACTGTAAAAAAATTATCTTTTGTGCGATGTATATGATGATAATCCCCAAAAACTTACCTTTTTAAAAAAAGGTAAAAAAATGGCGCCAAGTTCATGCACTAATTGTATCCAACTGTCATATTGTCTACAAAAATAGTGATATAAAAAAATTGCGTCAACTAAGAATAAAAATTTGTACAAGATAAATAGTAAAAAAAATTTTAATTAAAAATACTTGGCGCTTATTGAAATCCGATAATCTAAGTTACTCTCAACTGTCCGACTCGCGTATAGATACACGGAGTGCCGCGCAACGCTTCGCATGAACTTGGCGCGAGACACTACCGTGTCTCTTGATTCCGATTACAATCTTAATATTTATTCTGCTTAAAAACAAAACAAACTCGTGAAAGAGCGGTGAATGAAATTTAATCATTAGAGGAGACGTATAAAATTAAGGCGGTCTAAAAACTAATGTCTAGTTTGACGGCACAATTATTTTTAATAAACAAGTCACATTATTTACAATTATTTACAATTATTTTACAATTATTTATACATAGTTATTTATACATAATAGTTATTTATCTATAGTAATACATAGTATACGTAGTAGTTATACATAATTTATAGTTATATTAATTATATGTAATTGCTACGAGAACAAAGTAATTCAGCAAGATGCAGCGAAACTCTCGAAAACCATACGAAATAATAGTAATGTAGTGATTGTATTGATATACTGTGCAGTAATACGCAATGCTTTTTCTGGATTATACTTTTATATAAGACTGCCATTTGAGAGAGATACAAAACTATTGTGAAAACTACATATTTGCGCTATAGATTTTTAACAGAATAATTTAAATTGCTTTGTAACTTTAGATCTTTTTCAAAATCTTAATTATTTTGAAGTTGATTAGCAGAGTTTGTTATCATAGGCATCCACTAGCTGACCACCGAGATAGTTTACGATTAAACGCCAGAGCCGTTCGATTCTGCCGCGATAGGCGCATGGGGACATTAAGATCGGTATTTATAGTATATTCTTATATTTAAAATCATCTTAAGTTTGTGCTTGGGTCATCTTCTATTCAATCAATGAAATGACCGTATGAGCATCTTAAAACATAAGATGGTCTTATGGAAATAAGAATGGACTATGAATATGGCCTAAGCCATTTTTAGCGAAAGCGATTCACTCGCGTTCAGGGCGCGTCATTGGCGCGCCAAATATGAACGTGTCTGTTTTGTTTCGTTACTACAGCTACTATATTGAATTATAATATCAGAAGCAAAAAATAAATTTTTTTATTACAGAATAATGTTGAAAATTAGTTTTCACACACACACACACACACACACACACACACACACACACACACACATATATATATATATATATATATATATATATATATATCATTTGTACATTAAATAGTACGAATTGGTAAAATATATCAAAAACTATTATTTTTTTGTATGTTCTAGTAAATGTTCTAGTAAATGTGTAACTTATTTGTATATGTTTTATATTTTCAGTAAAATAGATTATAACTAATTTATAAAAACTTAGTTACATCAATCTACAAAAGAGTCTTAGGAATATTTTATCAATCTATACTATCAAACTTAAACTGACATAAGAAGAAAATTAATTTACTTCAATATATTTCACAAAAACCTTATGTTATCTTGCTTTTAATATTATAATTTAATATATTATCGCACAATGAGAAACTAAGGGTTTTAATTTGTTATATTTCAAGAATTTTATATATTAGTTTATTTGATTGATAATAAAAACATATATAATAATAATAATAATAATAATAATAATGTAATATTAGCTGATAAATAACATATAACAGCTGATAAGTAACATATTATATATAATACATTTTGGCAATAAATATTTTTCTATTTGCATATATATGAGCTTTTATATATACATACATTCTATATACATATTTAGCGAAAAGTATGAACAAAATTTGTAGCAGTTTTCCAAAAAAATAATAGGACTAACAATAAATCTAAAAATTTGTTTTCAACAAATTTTGTTTTCAACAAATTAAAATAAATATGCATGCTGCATTTGTTATTTGCTATTGTTAAATCGTTAAGTTTATATTTAATATAAACTATTTTAGGAGGCCATAATATCAGATAAATATTATCATTACAATATTTTAATTTAGTAGATGCTTAAAGGACAATGATTTTGCGTTTAAAAAAAAAATGAAATATTTTGAATTTAAAAGAAATACATACATATAATAGAATAAATTGTTAGAAATTCCAAAAAATGGGAAGAATTATTAATATTTGAAACACTGATAATCAAATTATTATTAATACTTGAAACCCAGATAACCAAGCGTGATTAATCATTGAATAAACTGATGCACTAAATATATTGTTTTATATATATATATATATATATATATATATATATATATATATATATTGTTATATGTTTGTTGTACGTTTGTTAATATTGAAAGAGAACATTAAATGCAACAACATGAGTGATATTATATAAATATTCAGTTAATGCAATTTCAAAATGATTAGTACTATTATTATCCTATAAACTGATTTGTCTAGTTTCATCTAGAATATCATGATGACAATAACACAAATGTAATAACTTATTCATTGTTGCGCATATTTCTTCAAGCAATACAGTTTTTTAATCCTGACTCATAAAAATATAAAATTATTATATAGTTATGATAAAGAGACAGCATATAACTTTCAAACTTTAATTCGTAAAATTTGCTTGCTGCTATCCGATGTATTATATCTTACACTATCTATACCATATATTTTTAAGTTTTTTATATTAGAATATATAAAGCTTGCAAAACTCAGCTAATGATATTAGATATGTAATCTTTTTCTATCAGTTCAATTTTTAATGCAACCCCAATGCAAGCAATTTTAGAACTAATTGTTCGAAAATGAAGAATATCTAATAAGCCAAAATTATTGATTTTTATCGACTTAAGATATAAAGTAGAAATTTAATTTTCGTATAAATAAAATACTAAATTAAGTTATTAAAATTTAATTAATTATTCATTATTTATTTAATAATGCTATCAAAAAAACATCATAGAATAACGTTAAGATATTAGTTTTTTTATAACATTTAAAAATTGTTAATATATCGTTAATCATAAATGATAAATTGACATTTACGAGTTACTGTCAAATCTGTATGTGGATAGTAATCAATGTTAATATGCTGCCATCAATATGTTATTCTAGAATTAAAATTTACTTTGGTGAATTCAATCCAACAAACACAATGCTATCAAATCTAGTTTTTTCAAAATTAGCTGCTTCAACAATTATTGGCAACATGACAATAAATTCACAGACAATTGGCTATCTGGGTAATATCTGTATCTAATACCTGTACTGTAAATTAAAGAAAATATTATGCAACAATAAAAATTATTGTTTGAGTAAATCCAAAATTGTTTAGCATACAAAAAATTATTTTACAAAATTAGCTTATATCAAAACATTGAGAAAATTTATATGTATGTGTATATATATATATATATATATATATATATATATATATATATATATATATTTAGGATATATGGTATTCAACATGTGTCAGCATTTAAAATGTAACATCCAGAAATTACTGAGAGTCTAAATTCTGAATAAATGATATTTGAGATTGAATAATTGTTCCCTAACTTTGATTTTTAATAAACATTTAAAGTGTCTGATATAAGATGCATAGAAATTTTTGTAATTAACTTTGTAATAATTACATTATTATTTGATATTAATGCTATTATCTTTGTAAATATTTACAATTCAAAAGATTGAAACATATATAAATTAATTATATATAAACATATATAATTGAAACATGTATATATATATATATATATATATTTTAATATATATATATATATATTAAACAAATTAAATGTTGATTAAAAACCAAAATAAAAAAACAATTATTCAATTTCAAATATCATTTATCTAGACTTTCGGTAATTTCTGGATATATGTTAAATACTAACCATATACCATGGATTGAAAAAACATCTATGTAAATCTTAGATCATGAATCGAATTACTACAAGACTAATATTTAAAATGATATAAAATGACATAAACAACAAAAATGGTTTTAATGAGGTTGAAAAATTATTTGAAATATATTTTAACTGTATTTTCCTTTATTAAAAAATGTTTTCAATTTCAAACGATTTTATTTATAAATTGTTTTGATATGCGCAATATTGACATCATGAATATTTAATAAGCTTAACAACGCGTTTCATTACTTCACATTATCTCGGACCGTTGCGTTTAAATTTATTACAAGAAACTACTTATTTATGATATGATACCAATATTATCTTGTCACTTGTTTTTAAAAATAACTATAAACTTACTTTCGTATTTATTTATTATTTATTTATTTTATTGAAATCGTATCGCAATGACACATGTTTTAACCGTCATTTATTCTACTTCTTCATTAACTTGTCGCTTTTTAATTTGAAATTCTTGGTTTGTAAATCTTACTTCAGAGAATAATTCAAAGATCAAATTTGACTGATATATATTAACATAATCACCTAATCACTGATAATTTCTCTAAGTAATCTTGAACATAAACAATTCATAATTTTATTAATTTTGCAATTTTATATTTTTTGTTGTGAATGACTTGATAAAGAAGAGAGAAAAGAAACATATTTAAATTTCGACTTCCATTTAAATACAAGTATCTGTGACACGATAATATCCTATACATATACGCGTGATTAGCTTATTCTTATGCTCCATATGCGATTATGTGATATATTTTTCTCATTCAAATCATATTTCTTTTTTCATATAACATTTAACTTTGAAATTTATATATAGCCCAAGAAGCACAAGTCTCAAAAGCGTATCACAAATGTATTAGTTCTTGTTAAATTATTATTAAACGCTAAAAAAAACGTAAATTTATTTTTTTTATACTTCTTTGAAGCACAAAATATTTATTAAGGCATATTAAATTAATGATTTATTTATCATATATATCAATATTAGATTATTGATTTGATGAGCTAAAAAATTCAGAATGCATACTTAAGATGATTAAGGGGAATGCTTGATTTTAGTATATATTTAATTCGAATTTTCCCTTTTTTTATTACTTCACTTTTTCTCATATCCATTCGTAAAAAATATCAAAATATTCCTAATTATAAAATTTAAATAATTAAAATTAAATAATATCTCAAATATATAAAAAGATTCAAAAATTTATTGAAATTTTTTCTAAACAATCTATAATTAATAATAAAACTCAAGATAGAATTCTATTTTTAATTTTATGTGTTACGTATTTTAATATATGTATATAAGTTTTCAATATAATATTATAATGATATATTTTAATTTATATATATATTATATGTTCAAATATTTATGATACATAAATTTTATTAATATTTCACAAATTGTCTTGAGTTGTGCAAATTATTAATCATGTAAGGAAGTCTTTTTTTCAACATAAAATTGTACAAAAGGGGAAAAAAAAAAATATATATATATATATATATATATATATATATATATATATATATATAAAACTTATGTTATAAAATATAACTTTATATCTCATGTTACAAAAATATAACTATCAATTTATGTTCGTCAATTGGAAAAATCGTTATATTTTCACTAAAATAGTAACTTTTGGCACATTTAACCGTTATTTTCTCAAAATTTTGATATAATAGATAAATTTATCCGATAAAACTTATTTGTAGAATTTTGAGAACTACTTTTCTCTTGAAATAATTGTTTTATATAATTTGTTGAATAATATTTTCTCTAAATATTAATTCGGTGTAAATATTGCCGTCTTAATAATTTTCTTTAGCTGTTGTAGCGTCTAATATAAAATTTTCTTTATTATTATTATTAATGTATTTTCTTTAAATTTTAGATTTTTCATCCCACTTAAAGGGCAAAAAATTTAATTTTTCCTTTTTTAATTTTTTATTGTTTCTTTATTAAAGACAGATGATAATAATTTTTTTAAAGCTTTAATTTGTATGAGCATTTCAAATGTAATACACTATTTCATACAAAAAAGGCTTATTTTTACTTGTTTACTTGGGTAACTTTTTAAATTGCTGTTCAAGTTACTGGTTTCAGGAATGTATTATAGATTAAGACAATTTAATTCATTTTTTTATTTGTAAACTTATATTCTCACTGTCTGTCTTTATCAGTCTTATCCTCATTATCTTATTGCTATCGATGTAACTTGATGCATGTTACTTTTTATCTTTATAGAGGTTGCTCATTCAATCGCAAGATATAAGGTTCTTCTCTTCTTTCTCTTTTAATTCCAAACAAATGTGAGATGTGTAGAAAAAGCATTAAATAATTCAATAACAATGCATATTTTGTCGCTGAACAAAATCAGAACGTTAAACCTGAATGTACTGTCCATCATCAGTATCACCTCCATTGTTAATTTGTTCCAAGGAAAGATTCAGATCTATTTTTTTGTAATGGACGCTCATCATATTTTTATCCTTTATTTTTTCATAACCATCTGTGTTTGCATCCGACAAAAAGTTGTTCACCTGTTCATAGGGCGGTTCCTCATTTTGTGTAACACTCATATATCTTACGCTCTCGTAATTTGGATCGCCATGACTCACGGACTCGTAATTCGGATCTGTGTCGCTATCACCAGGTTGGCAGACGGAGGCATAATTCGGTTCAAGTGTATGATGCGGCATACTTTCGTAATTTGGTTCCGAGTCAGTGTCCTGATCTAACTCGTCCCGCCGTCGTAAACGCACCTTCTCATAGCCAGGATCTTCGCTACTGGCATTGCTCACTTGTCTATGTTTAAATGACATCGAATATGTGTCCGTACTGTTTCTTGCCAATATTGAGGTGTTTTGAAAATCGACCTCTCGCGAGCATTGTGGACGTAACATGTTATAATTTAAATCGGACATGTGCGTGTCGTCTCTCGTGATAGAATTTCTCTTACCATTGTTAGAATTAACGGTCTCGTATTCATGATCAATCTTTAAATGAGCCGCATCCATGTCGACTTTAGGTTTTAAAACATTACTGTCATTCTCAACTTTAAAGTTACTCATGTTACTGCTTGCAACAGAGTAATACGCGAGATCAGGTTCCTTTTTTTGTATTTCCACAGATTCATGGCTGCACCACGATGCTCGACTAATCTCAAGACTTAATTTTTTGCAAGTACTTGCTTCAGAATGTAGAACGTTATTAGAGTTTGACTGAGTATCGTTTTGCTGTTCCTCTATCTCTTTTCTTTTCTTCATTACTTTTGCGTACATGTCTTCAAGCGACTTACCTACTGATAGCGATGATCTTAATTTGTCATCACCTTTACTTTTTTTGTCAACGATCGCATATCCCTCCACGGTTGCTTCAGGTGGTGGTGGTAGAGGAGAATTTGCTTGACGTTTCTCGGGTTTGGGAGATCCGGGATTAATAATGGAACTATTGGCACTCGACGATGATGCTGCAAAAGAAAAAAGTAATTGTATTTTATTATTTGATAACAGAAGAATTTTTTTATTTAATAATTGATACTTAAAATTAATATGAACTAATATTAATTGATATAATATTACAATATTACAAAATTTATTACCTTGCCTGGAATGAGCATGTGCAACATAACGTAAACTATCGACACTTGGCGGTTGTGGCGCAGGATACGTCTCGTCTGTGCGCAAAAAAGGCTGACAAAATATCGTTTGTTCGTGTTGTGGATGTCTATCGATTTCTGACGACATCATCGGTTGAATTTGTGCATATGTTTCACTGCCACTAGTATAAACTTTATCTTGCTCATCTATCGCGGCATACATTTCATCTATGGAATAGTCAGATTGATTTTTTTTTATGTATTACGTTATAATATATCAGAACTCTATAGTTTATTTACCAGAATCATCAGAAACAGTGGTATAATGAGAATCAATAATTGGTCTACTAGATTGATTTTCTCTATAAGCTGCTTTTGTCTGGGCAATTATATTAGCTAATGGTTCCCTTACGCTTATGCTTGTGTATCCTTCTATAAAAAACAAAAAAAAGGTAGTCTGAAAACTATTATTAAAAAATAAAAAATTGTGATGGGAGGAAAAGATAAGATCTATTTACTCGAATCTTGAGAGTCTCCACTAAAATTTTGTTGCAGATTATTATGTTGAGACTGTGACGAGTGCGGTAGTAACATTAAAAGTGGTGGCGTCATATAAGGTAAGTCTTGATTAGCCTGTATACTACCAGAGATGGCATTAGCGGCTTGAATATCAGAGTGTAATTCAGAGTTAAGAAGCGAATTGTGTGAGGATGATCGGCGAGTTCGCGGAGGCGCAATCGGATTTCCGCTCAATTGATTTATGGATGTTGATGGATTTTCAATATTCGTGACTTGATTAAAGTTAGTTCTGCAAAACAAAAAAAATATGTGTATATATATATTTTCTTTGCAAAAAATAAAATGTACAGATATGATAAATGGATAATACCTATTTACTTGATTAACTTCAGTCTTTTGAAAGTTTTGAAGTTGTGCATAAGGATGTTCAACTAAAATAAATATCAAAATGTTATTAAGTAATTGATAAACACAAGAAAAATTTTAATAATTTCCTTACTATTATCAGAGTTTGGAGATGCAAATCTTGCATATTGATGAGATGTATCTTGTACTGTCAAACAACTTTGCTGAATAATTTCTGGTGTTTCCCTTTCAGGTATTTGTTCTTGTACTAAAAGATAAAAGTTAAAAAAAATAACAATAATAAATTGTATAATAGAATTTTATTTCAATTTTAATATTCTTTTTCTTCAGCATTTAATCGAAAGGCGATATTACCTGCATCCTGAACTGTAGCATATAATTCTGAGTGGTCTCCCATAGTCTCAGTAGTCTCATATATATCTTGTGGTATAGAATCCACCATATCATCATGTTCTTTGCTTTTATCTTTTGGAATATCTGGAAGACTTCTGTTGGCACCTATTGTAGTTCTACATAAAAATATTTTAATAAAAATAAAAGAATAACACACACATAATATATTTTAACACAAAATATATTTTAAAAATTAAATCTTAAAAATATCTCTTAAAATATCTTAGAAACTCATTATATATTTACAAGACAATACAGTATTAATTAATATAAAACAAAATTATTATAAAAATCTTTAATTTTTTTGTTACGATAAAAATTATTTGGAAAATTGTAAAATAAACTGATCAAAAATATATTTGCTAGAAGACTATATCAAACATCATGCCTAGTATTTTTTGAGTTAAAAACCTTTTTGCGCCATCACTGATATCTTGAGTAACAGCATGGGATATATCCAATATTGGAATTCTGTTGAAAGCATCTGTTTCGGAATTATTCAGTGTTACCATACCAGCAAGTCCCAGAAATTCGTTCCTATAATGATTGTAGTTGTGTAACAAATGTCAAATTGTGAATTGATTGTATCATATATACATATATATAAAGATCTAGAAAAAATCTTAAAAAATTTAATATTTATAGAAACCAAATATTTATAAATAAATGATTGATATACAATGTACTAAAAAATATACTAAAATTTATAGATTATTATAAACACAAATAATTTTAATGTATGCACACACATATATATATATATATATATATATATATATATATATATAGAATTAAAAAATACTACCATTAATAAAGAGCATTCTATGTATTATATGGTATCCAATTGTTATTGATAAAAATGTGCAATTAATTATTTATAAATTATATTACAAATCTTAAATCTATCATAATAAATCAAATTAATAATTTTTTTAACATGTCACACATACACACACACACACACACACACACACACACACAATATATACATACATATATATATACATGTATCAAATTAATAATCTCTAGCATCCTTACTTGTTTTCATTCCGTCGACAGCTGCAGATACAAGCGGCGATCAAGCCAAGAAATGACAATAGGGCGCCGACCGATACAACCCAATAACACCAAGCATCCTTCTCCTCGAAAAAAGAGTATATCATATTATATTCTTCTTGTTGATTATGTTCTCGTATCCTAAAATACTCGGAATCGGAAACACTGTCAGTCCATTGCGCGTGAGATAACCTTAATGCAACGTGGAACACACCCAGAAGCGCTGATAGCATCCACACCACTTATTGCATTGATTTGATTTAATTTACGTATAATAACGTTTGTCGCTCGCATGACCGATACGAAGATTTTTCAGTTGCACTTTACGAGGCCTTTGTTAAAGCTTTCTTCTTTAAAACTTATAATAGTATAGTGTAAAAAGAATATATTCACAAACGCACTAAGCCTATTATGAGCTATTCAAAATGCAATTTGATACTCGTATGATGTTATCATTGCATATCTCGCCTAAACATTTTCGATAAACAGCTAATTTTTTTTTATTGTCAAACGGCTAATTGAATAGTTCGTTTTATCCGTTGAGTTCATTTTATTACTATCTTTTCTAACTTTTTATAGAAACCTCGAATCAAGAAACAGCACTAATTATGTAGTTGCGAGTTTAATTCGCATACCCGTGTTAAGTCGGGAGCGCAGACTTTTGCATAAGCATAAAGGCACATTCACACCTTGGCAGAAAGCCAATCAGAACTCGCGCTGGTAATAAGCAGTGGGTGCTTTCCATTTAACGACACAAGTCGACACAAACGTCATTCTATCTTTTTTCAATGAATAACAATAAACAAAGATAGAGTGATACTTGTGTCGATTTGTGTCGCTAAATGGAAAGCACCCAGTGTGTAAAGGCCGCAGCACACACTTTTGCATAAGCGCATAACCATAAGCATAAAAAAATTGATTGGTTCATTTTCTTATGCATATACTTGGGGATCAATCAATTTCCTTATGCTTCTGGTTATGCGCTTATGCAAAAGTGTATGCTGCGGCCTTTAACTTTAAGTATATGCATAAGAAAATGAACCAATCAATTTTCTTATGCTTATGGTTATGCGCTTATGCAAAAGTGTGTGCTGCGGCCTAAGCAGTACATTAAGCGTCGTCTACAATGAGATTTTAAGCCAGACCATTGGTCGTATTAAGTCCATTATTTCAAAAATAATCAACCATGATTGGTCAATTTGCCTACGACTTACGACTTGCGACGTTACGATACGACTAATGTAGATCCGGCTTAAGACGCCATTTTTCTTCTCAGCAATGTAGCTCTGCGGCAATAAAGAACAGACCTTATCGATGCGACATTCAGCTTAAACGTTTATCATGTGTGTTTTTCGTTTGTGTAATAATTTATTGTATCTAATTTTTGTATACTGGTCAAATCTCAAGTATTTAATCATAAACTCATAGAACATTTGACAGTTGGTGCTTGACAATTTAAAATTAAATCCTATCTTGGCTAACAGGTGCCAATTCAAATTGTAAATGTAACAGTAATAATAATTGTATTAATTATGGATCCATCAAAAGAAGAGATCCAAATTGAGTCAGCATTGATCGAAAGTCTGTCAGCAGAACAATATTCGAGATGCGAATCGCCAAAACGTGGCACGACACTTTCCACAAGCACCAGTAGTTTCGAAGCGCTCGATCCGCACGATCCGAACCTAAGTCGTTTAGCGAACACAATGTTCGAAAAGACAGGAGAATATCTGCAAGAGGAGCTCACTTCTACCCATGCAGACTATCAATTGTTGGAACGCTTAAACAAAGAAACTATTGCCAAATACACAGAACTGAAGATTATTTCGTCAAATATTGTACAGTCATTGGATTCTCTGAATGAGAAATATCAAAAGTTACAGCCAATTCTTGATAATATCAATCAGATTGATGATAGCGTCAGTAAGCTGGAGCAAGCTGCATATAAACTTGCAGCATACTCTAAACGGCTTGAAGCCAAATTCAAGGATCTTGAAAAAGATACAAGAAACAAATAAAATTATACAATTATAAAGATATAAACCTTTGTCTATATCTACCTGTATGTAATATTTATAATGTCAGAAATATCAATTATTATTACCATATAATGAATAATTATATAGGGAATATGGCAGGTCTCCCAAGAAGCAAATATATAAATGGAGACACAATGTCATGCTACTGACAAATAGAGAACTATGTTACAGAATCATGTTATTTATATTACATTTATTAATATACAAGATTATAAATACATTTTATGGAAATTCTATAAAATTGCAATATTGTGTATTCATTTGCATTATATAATGTATAAATTTTATAAATAACTCGATTTGATTAGGAATTATGTATTTAGCTTGTAAACTTGATCTTTTTTTTTGTAACATGTTACAATGTATACATGATACCCGGATAATAATAGTATAAATGTATGTTATTAAATTAAGAATAAATATTATCAAATTAAAAAAAGAATATGTACTTATAAATACATACTTAATTAATATAAGATACAATATTAATCATAAGATATAGCAATGAGAGCTAGTGATATAATTCATATTTGTTTCTAGTGTTATTAATAATTGCATGGAAATAATATATATGTATACGTATATGTGTGCATGGAAAATATGTGAGAAAGTCTGTGAATAATAATAATAAATTACATATTAGTATATTATCAGCATTTTGTTATGTCTCTGTGATACATAAATATTTCAATATTACATTAAACATAAATTATCAAATACAGTACACAAATTAAATATTTAGAATATATAATTGTAAAACTTTAAGATTACATTGTCTTATAATATTAAAATGTCTATGTCATGAATAAGAATTCAATAAGCTTTATTATTATGCTCCAATATGAGCTTTTAAAGTATAGAGTTATGGCTATAATACAACTGCATTGTTTTTGTAATTTATTGATAGAGACGATATAATGCAAATAATGTTTAACAATCTAAGAAATTGCCAGCCATTAATAATTCTAAAGCGATTTCAGGTGCAATCGGAAATTCTGGTATTTCTGTACTGCTATTTGTATAGCGCACTTTATAAGTAAAATACATGCAAACTTTTTGTAATACATGAGACCTAGAAATAAAAAATATATATATATATGTACATACATATGTACACACACACACACACACATATATATATATATATATTTCAATAATTCCATTACACTCATATCAATAAAAAAAAAAAAAAAAAAAACATTTTATATTATTGAAATATAAAAATGAAGAACTTGTATATCTGCTATATTTTACACTTACGGAATTTCTCGAAAGTTAACTTCATTAGCTTCATTCTCTGCAAACTGTCCAGGACCACTTAACATTGCTTTGATGGTACCGCTTGTTAATGCATGTTCTCTTTTAACAATAAATTCATGTCCATCACTACTGACTAATTTCACATACATTGCATTTGGTCCTTCACAACCTCCATAAATAGGTCCACTTTCTTGCTAAAAGTTTCAAAAGATCAATTATGACACTTGTGTATACATCTCAATTTCTGCTATATGGTAGAGGATTACATAATATAAATTTAAAACAATATAGAAATATGAACAGCAGGAAAAAGAACAGGAATGATATCTAAGCAGCAAAATTTTAATTTGGAGAAATAGGTACCACATGCAGGTCTTTAGATGATCTGCCCTCTTCTTCTTCGGTTTTATCGACACTTGCTTCTCCATTGGACTTGATCCAAAGAAATTATTATCAATTAATTAATATTTTAGTTTACTATAAGTTTTCAGCTTTCCAGAAAGGAACGAATAAAATCTCAACATATAAAGCAACCCAATATATATACATTTTTATTACGGAAAAGTATCATTGTACACTCCAGTCACCATACAAAGTAGCATTACACATGCAAATAAAATTGTTTTATATATACCTTTTCAGCTTGCATATTCACATCGGTTGACATGATTGCTGTTGTGTGCAAATTTTTCTAAAACAAGAAAGATATGAATATATATGTATAAAATACATTATTCACATATTATAAATATATAAGATAAATTATATATAACATAGATATGATTAAAATGAAGTCTAGTTTATAAAGATGCAAGGAATATTGAATTATTAAAAAATATGCATAATTAGCGATATTAAGTAAAACATCCTGTATAAATAAATGGCAAATTTTCATTAATATCTTTTAATAGCAATAGATTAAGTTATATTATTAAAACACATGTTACAGAATGCTTTACAAAATACAAAAATTAATATTTCCCATTATTCCAAAATTATTTTACACTTTTAAGCACAATGATATTGTTTTTACTCAACACTAATTAAATAATAGTTTGCTCTATATATATATATATATATAGCAAACTATTATTATATATATTCAACACTAATTAAATAATAGTTTGCTATATATGTATATATGTATATATGTATATATATATATATATATATATATATATATATATATTAAATATAGTTTTGCTATGTTATATTATCGTTACGAGCATTATAGTTGCATTTGTACTGTAAATGTTATATGATCATAATGCTGACTGGTTGATTCATAAAAGTATAGTTAGAAATTATATATTATATACGAAATTGTAAATAACTTTGTGCATCTCACATGCAATAAAGATTCCTCTTTTTATGTATATATATATATATTTTTTTTTTCTTTTTTCGTCTTAGATATTACAGGAACGCAATTGAACGCAATAACAACGTCTCGATTAGTAAGAGCGATACAGAATACAGAATTGCTCAGAGACGGGTAAATTTCAAGTTGATTTTGGAGACCTCGCGCGGTGATAGTACAAAACTTCGACTTTAAGCCCGCATTACACCATGGGTGTAAATGGTGGGAACGTTCCCCGTTTGACCACAGCCAATTATATCGACCTGTGCCTAGGGTAACCAGCAACGATTAACCAATCAGAGAGTCCTATTTTGAATTGGTCAATTGGCGACGTGGTCAATCGGGTGCCACCCGTAAATGATGCATTCTAGAGACCATCTAGGGCCGGTATTCATAGTCCGATCTTATATTTGAGATCGTCTTAAGTTCGAGCTCGAAACGCTACGCAGCTATTTCATTGGTTAAATGAGGTCTTAAGTCAACCTCGGATCAGACTTAAGACAATCTTAAATATAAGTTCGGACTATGAATACTGGCCTAGGGCTGGTATTCATAGTCCGATCTTACATTTAAGATCATCTTAAGCTTTCATTCCACCAATCAATAGCTGCATTGTAGCTATTTGATTGGTTGAATAAGTTCTTAAGATGATCTTAAATGTAAGACCGGACTATGAATACCGGCCTAGGGTCTCTAGTGCATTCGTTTACACAGCGGCATCTGCTAATCACGTGACGTAATTTATCGAACAAACATCTACATGAATGACTGCTCGGGGCTACGATCGAGCAGATGCTCTGAATGCTTTAAAACATATTGATTGCAATCAGGTTAAAAGAAATTTTTGTCTTAATTGGTCATCAAACACTTCAAAGCATCTAAAGCGTCTTCCCAACCGTAGCCCGGATGTATTTACCAATAGAAAGACGATTGTAATCAGCAGAATCTATACGTGAAAGACTTTTTCATTAGCATATGCCTCAAGGAAAGATAAAGTCATGGACTTTAAATATAAATATTTCTGAAATTGTTTATTTTTTTATTTGATATGCAAGTCACACAAGTGTCACTTTCCTTTACTCCATTCTTTTTTTTTCATTTTTCGTATATGACGGGTGATTGGATTATTAAATTAAAATCTACAAAAACTAATATTATAATTATTTATATATTAATACATATTTAAAAATATATCTCACATTTGATACATATATATATATACAGGGTGTCCCAGTTATCTTCCGTCATCTTTCAAAGACAGATTCCTGAGATCATCTGCAGACAATTTTTCCTCAACGAAAATGTCGAGGCACTAATAATTTTCGAATTATAAGTGATTGTAAATAAAGAGTTTTTCGTAAACTGAGTTTTGTAGAAATAAAATATTAACAAAACCACATTCTTTGATTAATTTTAAATAGAGTTTACTTGAGTTTACTAGTTGAGTTTTAATTTAAGACTTAGAAAAGATATATGATGACAAAAATCGGGAACATGCAAAAAATGAAAATGGCCTTCTTTGACATTTTTGCCGAGGAAAAATCGTCTTCAAATGATCCCAGGAATCTGTCTTTGAAAGATGACGGAAGATAACTGGGACACTCTGTGTGTGTGTGTGTATGTATATATATATATATATATATATATATATATATATATATATATTTGTCTACATATGTCTAGTTACATACAGATATCTATTTTAAGAATGAAAAAATCACTTTCACATTATATTATCTTGTGTACTTATCATCTGTTATTAACAAAATTTTGTTGACACACAGCATTTTTATAAATTATACTATTCGATAAAGTTTGATTGTACAGCATGTGCCAAGGATATACAAGAGGAAATAATTATTTGTCTATATTACAAACGTAAGAAAAGATTAAATTTTCCTAAAATCCATGTATGTCTAAAAACACAACTAAATAATTATAAATTACTATAATGTTTATTTATTGCTACATTTTCCTCATGTTGGAAAGTATACGTTGTATATGTATGTACATTATATATATATATATATATATATATATATATATATATATATATATGCATTTACTGTATAGCAATTACATTATTGAATAAAGGTTTCTTTAGGTGATTTTATAAATTTCTTGCATTTCTCCGCGAATAACATCTCTTTCTGAAACAATAAATAATAATTATGACTTTCTTTTCTCTGTCAATATTAAAATTATAAAGTCTACTTTTGCCAATATCGATTAATCTCAATCTAATTAGAGTTGTTATAATCTAATCAATTAATACTGACAAGACTTGGCATAGAAGAAATTGCATTAAGAAATTAAATTGCAACAATTGCAAAAAAATTACCTTGAGCAACTCCTTATCGGGTATCCTAGGATATGGCCCAAATGGATCTTTCTTACCATTATCAAAGTCTGTCGCGAGCATTACATTTAAATGTATAAATAGCAGCACAAATGTAATACCACAAAAATTTTGCAAGGCCATTATTAAACAGACTCAACAAATCACGAGTTAACTAAAATATTTTGTTCAATCGAGACAACAGAATAAAATGTTGCATCAAGATACAGTGATACCAATATATTTTTAGTTCGCAATGGCGTTTTCGAATGGTACGAGTTAGTCGTTCCGAGGTTACTAAACGTCATTCACCAATCACAGCCAATTGTAGTGGTTACATTCTTCAGAAGAATGGCTGTGATTGATCAATAATGTTTAGAAATCTACCTATCGAAGGGATTGGAAGCTTTTCAGCAACGACACAGAGCGACACAGAATATCATTCTATTTTTATTGTTTACTTACGATATTGAAAGAAGATAGAATGATATTGTGTCGCTCTGTGTTGTCGTTGCTGGAAAGCTCCCATTAACTCGTACCATTCGAAAACACCATAATTCGGAACGCACCATGAATATCGATTAATAATCATAAGCATAAGGAAATTGATTGGTCCACAAGCATAAAAAAATTAACCAATCAATTTTCTTATACTTATGGTTATGCGCTTATGCAAAAGTTTTGTTCTCCTAGCTTTATGAATCCCGGCTGTAACTATCTTTGCATTAGTCCCGATTTACAATAGGTAATTTAAATCCTAAGCCTTAAGAAATTGACCAATCACAGTCGAGTATTCTCTTCATACTTGATTGTGATTGGTCAATCTCTTAAGGCTTGAGGTTTAAATTGCCTATTATAGATCGGGACTTAAGGCTATAGCACACACTTTCCATAAGACACAACAGTAAGGTTTCGACCAATCGCGTTACTTAATTTGGTTACGGACGGCCAAATTGAGCAACGCGATTGATCGAATCCTTACTGTTATGTCTTATATAGAAAGTGTATGCTATAGCCTTTAGAGCGCATTCATAACTTGGCAGGAAAGCAGAAAAGCAGAAACCAATCAGAACTCGCGCTGATAGTTACAATTTCTACTTTTTGCCTTTCTAAAGGCCTTTGCATTCTTTTATCGTAGAAAGAATACTCGACTATGATTTATCAGTTTTCTTACGACCTTATGGTTACAACTAAAATTTTTGTACGTGGGCGTTGTTCCAAAAAATTCACTGCCAGTGCTGAAAATCTATAGTTCACGTTACGTATATTATATATTTTCAGCGCTGGCAGCGAATTTTGGAACATAGGCGTGGTACAAAGGCCTTAAAGTATTATTTAAATACTGCTCATTATCAACGCGAGTTTTGGAAATCGATCATGAATATTTTTTACGAGTCCACGCTAAGGAAAAAGATTTATGATCGATTCCTAGATTTCTGCTTTTCTGCCAAAGTGTGAATATGCCCTTAGAGGAAATTTAAGGCCCGGTTGCACCAACGTTATTTTAGCTTTAGACCGAGTCTACAATAAACAATTTAAGCTAGTTCGAAAAGAATACTAGACTGTGATTGGTCAATTTCTTAAGGCTTAGGGCTTAAATTATCTATTGTAGACCCGGCCTTAAGCGAAACTTAAATATATGTCTGTCTTTATTTATTTAGAAAGAAAGATAAAGATAGATATATATTTAAATCTCGCTTAAAGGTAAAATAACGTTGATGCAATCGGGCCTAAATGATTTCGCAGCTAGTCAAATTTCGTGTAAACGCGCCATTACGGCAAACAGCTGCAAGCAAACTTCTCTCCGATGCCGACAGGTGGCGACAAAAGTATGCAGCGTGAAACAGTAAGAGCGGATTGGCAGTCGATTGTTGGCCGTCACCGCGCGAAGACGGCGAGATCGTCCTTGGTTTAACTGTCGGCTTATCCGTTGCGCGCAACGCGATTGGCTGACGTTTCTTCCGTAAGTCCCGCCCATCAGGTTACTGTTCAAAAGTATGTAGTTGTGTTTCTTTACGCCAAAACGACGAGTGCGCTGCTTTCCTGTATCGCTCGACTCTGGTACCTATTCAATCGTAGGAAAAATTTCAAATGAGTCGTATCGGCGCGTTAATATGCGACGGTTGAGAAATAGTCGAGTGTATGGAAAATCGCGAGCTCGTTCGAGGGTGGTCCATTATTAATATCGCTTACGGGGGGCATTGCTGTGACAACGTCCGGTCCGGGGGGGTTCATCGCGAGTAATTGTGTGTCGAGAATCGTGAAAGAAAGAGAGAGAGAGAGAGAGAGAGAGAGAGAGAGAGAGAGAGAGAGAGAGAGAGAGAGAGAGAGAGATACGAAGATAGAAAACATACGGCGACCGTGCGCGCAAGAGGAAGTGGCGGTGGCGGTGGCGGCGGCATCGGCGGTGGAGGAGGAGGAGGAGGAGGAGGAGGAGGAGGAGGAGGAGGAGGAGGAGGAAGAAGAGGAGGAGGAGGAGGAGGAGGCGGTGGCGGTGGTGGTGGTGGTGGTGGTGGTGGCGGCGGTGGCGGTGGTGGTGGTGCGAGCGTGGCGAGAAGGAAAAACACGTTTCACGAGGCAACGTCTCGTCTCGCGTCAAGAGGTTCCGGCTGAAGATATCCGTTGTCAGTGTCGTCGGCTGTGTTCATTCCGTTCGTTGTATGGTGCAAGCTTTGCGCCGATCGACGACGGTGAGAAAGAAGAGAACAGGAGTTTTATAAAACAGAAAGAGAAAGAAAAGTGTGTTATTGTTGTGCGCCGTTTCTATGGCATAATCCCAGCGAACGAGCGAAGAGAAACTGGTCAGCTGGTTTTACGCCAAGAAGAATCATTCGCAAGTGGAAGCAAGACAGTGAGAAGCCGCATACGGCGAAATGGGAGACGGAGAAATGGCGCTGGTGCCAGGTGTCCAGTATGGTTTGTCGTCGCACGACAATTTCGATGAACACAAATCTTTAATCTTCGTGAAGCTCACCGATTCATCGTATCGTGCCATCCAGGAATACCTCAAGAGCCGAGTGAGTAGTTTTTGTCATATCGAAAATTCAAGCTTTTTATATTTAGAGAGGCTAGGATCGTCATGCGTGCGCGCGCGCACGCGCGCGCATACGTTGGACGTATGTGTGTGAAGCGCACGATACACATTTACTGACACGTATGTGTATCTACTGCCGTGACCGGTGGCATGTGTACGTAATATCATCAGTGTATATTGTAATATCATATCCAGGAAAAAAGAGATAAGAGAAACATCGAGATATTCAATCGTTCATTTTCTTACTTATCATATTTTGTGCGAAATTTCGTGACGATGTCTTCGCCGACGCCTGGAAATTCTTCGACAAGCTAGCTTGATCTCTCCTTTCTCCCCTCATCTCCTCCCCACACCCCTCTCTTTCTCTCTCTCTCTCTCTCACACACACACACACACACACACACACACACACACACACACACACACACACACACACACACTCCTTTTCCCCTTGTCTCATCCTTCCTATTTCTTCTCTCTCATCTCCATCTGTTTTTTTTTCTCAAAATCTATTTTTCTTGAAAGAAATCACATTCGAGAGAGGATCGGCTCTTTTCACAAACAGCTGCTCTCTCTCTCTCTCCCCCCCCCCCTCTCTCTCCTCTCTCTTTCTCTTTTTTTCCGTCTCTTGTTTTCGAGAAAAAGTTCTTTTTCAAGAAAAAGCTGAGAATCTCTCAGCTTGAGGCCGATCCAAAAATTCGATATGCCTTCGTGTCAGTATACGATCCTCCTTTTTGCGGCATTTAAACAAACGAGCGAACGAACGAACGAACGAGTCGTGCGATGTCGACACGTCTGCTGCTTTGACAACGGTAATTACGTAATATGAGAACACGAGAGTACGAACTGAGCCGAACCGAAAAATTATATATGCATAATGAAGCCAGACACACACACTTCCGCGGCTACAGAATTTCACATATGCCGCGGTGTTCTTGAAGCATTCTTTAAAAGAAAAGTAGTTCCAACATATAATCGCATAACTTTCTTGCAAAGGATCCTCCCTCTCTCCTCGAGAAGGCGAAAACAGATGAATCATCTCACGTCACATTACATCGATAGCATGATTTCTGCTACTTAGCCCAACTAATCGCGCTCATCTGCGAATTTTTCTGCGCTCGTTTTTGCTCTTTCGCGTAATTGAATGTTTGTTAAATGCGTCATCATGGCCTCGCCAAAAGAAAAAAGGAATGTACACTTTTTATTTTTAACAGCTTTTTCCTGCTTTTGCTGCGTTTGCTGCTTTTCTGACCGCGCGTATTTTCCGTCGTTTTGAGCCGAGGAATACTCGGTCTAACGAGCATGAAGCAGTAGCGGTTGCGAATTCTTACATCAGCTGATTCTAACCTCACCTCACGGACGAGATTCGAAAGTAGAGGAATCGTGGTACGGGGTGAGACGTGTCTTCACCAAAATAACGCCGTTAAATGCAGAAATATATACAGTCTTCATATTATCTTTCGTAACGAGTCAATGAAAGATATACATATCGTATGTAATTATGTTGCGTATATTGTTACGCCGTTTATTGTCGATATCATTTTTTAAAATTTTCTTTTATTACGTGACTTTTTGTCAAAATCTTCAACTGGAATTGCATTTTATACATCGTAGCGAAACGCCATAAAGCCGAAGAAAACGGCTTCGATGAAACATTTTTACTATCCATAGATTGTCGCGATTGTCGCAACTTATCATTCGATATTTGGGAATACTTCGCTTAAAGTCATCTTAGCGTTATATTATCGCAACGATGTAAATTTGTGCGTTAAACTGATTATTGAAAATCTAGTCGAGTCTAGTAAGAAATTTAATTAAATCACACACACGCGCGCACACACACATATCAACCCGTTATTTATAATAAATAAATTCATTATTAATTCTTACTATTTTGAATCGCTGAACAATTATTATTGTGTCAGAATAAGTTTTGTATAATGATTGCGAATGACATGCATGTCTTACGTTAATAGGCAATAAAGCAACCTTATTTTTTAAATTTATCTGTGTAATTATAATAAAATAAATAGAAAAGCAAGAAATTTGAAGCCATTTACAATTATTTATGTTAAAGTTAAGAATTTTTCATGTTTGTTTGATAGATTAATTAAAATTATCCGCTTAGAATTTCAAAATAGCGAGATAAAAATACTTTTTTAATCCACGATTTTCCACGATATAACAAGATATTTACACATTGGAAAGACATGAAAAATTTGATATTCTTAGATTTTTTGTACTTGGAAAACATGGAAAATCAGGGAAAAAACATGGATTTCTCATGCAATTTTATTCTTTTTTATTTTTTCATAGCATTACAGTCCTATGTGGACCAAAAACCTTGTGCAACAATCTCCTGCCATCCTTCCCGATCTCCTGCCCGATTTCTCCAATTTTTGATGTTCATCTTCAGGTCGCCGACCACTGAGTCCAACCAAATCTTTCTCTCGGTCTTCCTCTTCTTCTGGTACCCAGCATTTTAAGCTGAAATATCTTCTTTACTGCTCTGTCTTGAGGCATTCGAATTAGGTGTCCTAGCCATCTCAACCTCTGAGATTTAACAAAGCGAGTCACCGTTTCGCCATTCACTAGAGCTTCTAGTTTAGCATTATACCTGCTTCTATACGACCCGTCTTCCTCCTTAATTGGACCGAATATTCTCCTTAGGACCTTTCTTTCCAAGGTGGCTATACGCTGGCAGTCTTCATTTTTTAGGGTATGTTAGCACGGGTCTGACCAACGTCTTATAAATCTTGAGTTTCACCATTCTGGCGAGTAGATTGGATTTTAAGAGATTTCTATGTGCGTAATAGCATTTTGACGCCATTTTTATTCTTTCCCGTATCGCAGCTCCGGTGTCAGCTGATGACGAGAAAGTTACCCCACGGTAACTAAACTGAGAGATCGCTTCGAAGCGGTGGTGTCCAATATGCAATTTTATTAGGACTCGGAAAATTTAAAAGAAGAACCTCTCAATAATTTTGCTTTTATACTGTGAATAATCGGGACGGGGAGACGTGAATTGTTAAAAATATATTCTGAATATATATCTACATTTATTTATATGCAATATTTTAATAAAATATTGAATACGAAATGCATGTTCTTTATTAATTTAGTAATGAAACATGAAAATTTGATGAAGAAATGAAAATTTTATGCGAATAGAAAAAACGTTCATCTTACAAAAGTTATTAAGTTTTTTAGTACACATTTACAAATCTAGCACTTAACTCTAAAAAGCTCTGTGCTTTTTCCTTCGTACATGAAAAATATATGTAATAAAAAAATTTATTTTAGAAAATTGCACTAAAAATTCTTCAATCATTTTTTTTGGAATTTTGAATAAAAATCTCTGTAAGATTATAGGAATAGAAAATTTTTCAGAGAATTTTCTTTTACAAGATTTGAGTGTAGACACTCTCTAAAAAAGTAAGAAAATATAAAAATGCTTAAATAATTCGATTTTTAAAGAAACGCGCGCGACGCGCAAATGTTTTTCATCGGGGAGAATTTTTTCGGTTAGATGTTAAATGGTGGTCAAATATTTAAATGAATGATCCGAGTCTCCGCGTGACACAGCTAAGAATGCAGTAGAAAACAGCAAAGGGAGAAGAATGTAGAACGAAAATAGGGTTAGTTTAAATAGCCCATTGTTTAAAAAGCGCTGCAGAATTCAAAAGCGAACCACCTTTACGATTCCAAGATTCAGATCCTGCTGTGTTGGCTGTATCTTGTAAAAGGGATGTGCCCCTTTCGAGAAGTATACAGCTGTTCTCTTTGAAACTCGAATAACTTGAACCCCGTTTGAAGAAACGGAGTTGCAACCGCATGTATATTTTACAAGTAAGAGAGAGAAAAAGAGAATACGTTTCTCTCTCTCTCTCTCTCTCTCTCTCTCTCTCTCTATTTTCTTCTTTTAATACCTCTTTTCCCTCGCTATAGACAATTTGTTTATTTGCGAAATGATTAATCGTGATTCGAATTATTATTTAGAAAGCCAGACGGAACGTTAAGTATATTGAATGAGCAATTCAGCTTTTATTGTAAAAAACTTTTATGGACATATTTATTAGGTTGATTTAATTTCTATTTTTGATTTCTGTTCAAATGACGGCATAGAATTGTGTTATATCCTCTTCGCTTAATTACTTACTACTGGTTATTCGCTTGATTTTGTGGATGTCATCATTAAAGTCGAAAAAACGTTTTGTCCTTTATTCTTTTATAGTTGTTTGTATTCCTAAATTAAATGGCAAGTAAGGCATTAAATAGCACACTAATTTTCACTTTATATTCACGCAGAGAAAGATTTTTGCAAAAATTATTTTATTTAGATTTTTATCAAACTTTCATAGCGCACTTGTATTTTTAGTTAAATTTATTCAATTTACAAAAATTTTGTAATTTATAAACAATTTTTCTAATTTTGAAAATTGTTGGTCATGTTAAGCAGCTATCAAATACCTGTGTATGTTTTCGAAATATTCAAAAGCAATTCTTTGAACACAGAACAGTTGGGTTTTTTATTATTGCCTCATCTTTTTCTCTTTCCCTTTTTTATTATTTACAATCTCTCTTTTGCACCTTTGCAAACTTTGTTTCTCCCTTTACTTCTTTTCTTTCCGAATTCTGTTCCAATTAACTGCTATTTATCATTTATTTTTATATCTCGTTACATTTTGCCGCATATTAACGCAATGCGTAACTAAAACAAATGACAAAATTTTTTTAAATAACCAAGAACAATCGTCGTAAATTAATCGATGCGGAAGGGCTATCGCGAGATTGTAAGACTCTCGTAAATTCAAACGATACGCGAATTTATTTATGAAAAGAAGTTACACGCAATTAAATATTCGCACGCGCCAAGTTGGAATTTCGATCTCGGTTTTTTTTTTTGCGCACTGAAATAATATTAAATGCTGCTAAGACATATAAGAATGGAAAGTCAGATATTAACGCACGAAGTGCATACAT